CCATAAAAATTATTTATATTAATGATGTCTCCAAAGGTCAAGTTATCTTTCTGCGATAAATTATTTATCAGATATCGCGGCCGCCGTTTCGTGTGCTGTTCCGCGACGAAGACAAGCTTTGAACAACGGGCGTAGTCGAACGGTACACACTCGGTAAGTAATCCTATAATTTTTTGTTTATAGCATAGTTTATACGGATTACTCCCAAAAAATTATACGTGTTTTGGAAATGTTGAGTGGAATTAGTCTAGAATCGGTTAATTTTATAGAAGAAAACCTTTCGAACAGCCTTAGTCCGTAAAGTTCCCACCTATCGGGCTGTGATTGGCTCATGTATTTAATCATTCCTACAATGTAAAATTCGATTAGTGTGGAATGTATCTAAGCGTTATAGGGGGGGTCTACTGTATAATTTTTACTACATTTCTATTCAATCAGAGTGTCACTGAAAATTGCCACATTTGGCACAGGTGCCATTAGGTTGTCGACCTCTGCTTTAGACTATTGAAAGTACAATAACACCACAATTACTACAAAAGTTGAATGGCATCATCCATGTAGTAAAGAATACCACAAAGTAAATACCAAATATGCCATTTCCATCCACCTTCAATTACATTCATCTTTAAGTTTTGTGGGAAAATAGTTTCTCTTCCCAATAATGTTTGGAACCACTCTGTCACATATAAAACATTTTTAATATCTTTCATTTTGTTTCATCTATTTTGTATTGTTAATTCAAATAAATTTAAACTGATAGCAGGTCATTATTAATTACAAAACTACTATCCATTACTGCAAAATTCTGTTTGAATTTCACAAATCAAACTATACAGTAAAGTATCTTCATTTGAAAATAAACAGTCATTGATTTAGCAATTTTGATAAAGTTTATTACACTATATTCTAAATTTAAAGTAATAACATTTGCAAGAATAGGTTCAGTATTAGCACAATACAAAATTTAATAATCTTGTCCATAATTTTTTCCTGGCTCAAGCTTTTGGTTTCTGATAACTTATCTATCCTTTTAAATTTAATGGCATGATAATAGCAAATGCAACAACTATAAAAATCTGTTTCAATCTAATCTTAATGAATCTGATTAATAAATATTGTAATAAGATTAAAAATCCTTCATAAACATATACAATCTATTTAAAAAATTATCAGCAATTATGCTAGTCTAATATACATTTAGTAAGTCATTGATATCTGTTTGACTTTTCAAATTTGGCTTAGTGAATGTAAATTTGTGAATTAAAATGTTTTTGGATGTGTTTATATTCACAAGGCTAAATGAAATACAAAATAAACAAACAACTGAACTTACATTTGATTGTGTGAAGAAAATATTCAACACCATGCTCATATAATCTTAAAGCTTCACCATAATTTTTCTTTTTGTCTTCTTCAGTGGCCTTGGTTACCAAATCTATGGCTTTCTATAAAAAAAAATTTTTAGAAAGTGATAAATTATTTGTTATAATGCAATTTATATTTGCTGAGTGGATTAAACAGAAATAAACCACAGAAGAGAGCTATATATGCAACAGTAATTATATTATAATTTATTCTATTAGTATTAGTTATTAACAATTTATATCTAATATATTATTTAATTATATAGTATGTCAAAAAACATTTCCCACCCTTGCAATGTTTTATAAAAAATCTTGAATATTTTTTAATTGAAAACAATACTTAAGACGAGACATTTACACTGACATACAGTTCTCTACTGTTTCAAGATTTAATTCAGATGAAGTGTTTTTATTAATAAGTACAAAATTAAAGAAAAAAATTACACCAATGTTTTTTTTTCAGGGTTTCAAAACAAAGTGCTACAGTTTAATATTTTATGTAACCTTCTTGGTCTTAAGGACTGTACCAACTCAGTTATATTGTTATCAACTTTTGATTATTCTTCCTTAACAAGTTGTACAAAATTTGAAAGTTATTGTTTTTCAATTTTTGTCTAAACCTCAATTGGAGAGATTGTGAAGGCCAATCTAGTGTTTTAATGAAACCAGTGTCTTTTTGGAACCAGAATGCAATAATTTTAGCTGTGTGCTTGAAATGTTTGTCTTACTGAAAAATATATTTTTTTCCAAATTGCAATTTATGAACTGATGGAGAAATATGCTTCTCCAGGATCTCACCCAATGCTTCTTTGTTCATGATTCCATTAATTCCAAGATTTCCTACACCACTCCAAGACCCAAATCATTTTGCTACCTCCTCAATGTTTAACAGTTTTGATTTTCTTTTTTTTTTCTTTCTTCTTTCTTTCTTTTCAAGGCTGCTATTATGTACTTCTGTCTGATTGAAAAAGGTTCACTTTGATCGCATTTGACCACAAAATTAGCTTCCAATCATTCAAAATGAAGTTTTGGTATTTCTTTACATGTAATAAGCTTTTCTTCATATGGACATTAGAAATCATGCTAGAAAAAGCCACTACTAACTCATTAGACCACAACTATACAATTGATTTGTGATTGTTTGTTCACTTGTTTATCTGTTCATAAAGTATTATTTAGTTTTGGAGCTAATAAAAATGAATTTTTCCTTGCTACTTGCAGCATTTTTCTATCCTCACAAACAGATTTTCCTTGGCTGTTAAGAATTTGGCAAATTTGCCACCAATGTTCCATAGGTTTTTAACTTTTTCACAATACTTCTAATGGTGTCCACATAAACACTAGTTAAACTGGTGACTTTTTTAATAAAAATAACAACAAAATTACATGGCTTATTTGTACATTTTTGATTTCAATTAGGCCTAAAACATAATCATTACACTTTCGTCCGATAAATCAATATAATCATCACTATATTTGCTCATTTCTTCATTAAGAAATTCAAACAATTCCTGTTCAGTACATTTATGTGCCATATTTGAACTTAACTCACATATACAAAATAAAACAACTCAAAATTATCTGCTTGCAAAATATGGTGACGAAACTCTGAATCAAACAATGTATGTGTTTCTAAGAAATAGCTTATATTTCAAATTTCTGAGAAAATAGTGCCCACTGTTAGTTAACAGACACTAAAAAAACACACAAAATTTGTATTTTGATTGCTGAAAACATTAATGTTACGTTTTAAAGCTAGAAATAACTTGATATACAGAGGAACGTAATATTATGTTTGCTGTTTTACCAAATAATTTGCAAAACATAATATTACATTTTTAGCAGGATAAGTGTTAAGGATGCCCATCCTTTTAAATGGATGCAGTCCCATGCAAACACATGCTAGTTTGCATATTGGCGAGTACATACAATGATGTCGGACATGACTACTTTATGACAAATTTGGCTTCTTTTTTACTCTTTCTGCCAAAAAAAACATGCTGGTTCCTTGGCTACTTTTTAGCTATTCACTTGCTGCTGTTAATATAACTCAAACTCATATGTCATACTCTGCATAAGTCTCAGGACTGACTGGTCAAGACATTGTTTGAGTGATGATTCCATAAATTAAAGTGAGATTGACAGTGATTTTCAGTCTTTTTTCAAGGATTCAACAGATGCTGTTCACACTACATGCCACTATCTACAGTTTGAAAATGACATGGATGAATATTTAAAGGTAACATTTGTGACTGAAAAAATATATACAGTAGAACCTCGATTATCCGGACTAATTGGGGATGAAGGTAGTCCGGATAAGGAAAAATCCGGATAATCGAAACAGATACTTTAATTTGTCTTTTAATGATAATACAACACGTTTTCTTTTCGATGACATATCGGTAATATTAAAAGTAAATACTGTATTTAAATCGTGATCAAATTTTCAAGAAACAAACGTTCGTATTGAATTTGGACTACTACTGACCAACGCTAACAGACTACCTATTGTTTAAAAGGCCCTCTGGTGGCGCAAGAAGACGGATTTTATAAAATAAAAAGCAGTTGAAACTGCATTTTTATGAATAAAAATTTGACAAACTATTTATCGTTTTATGACGAGTAAAATTTTTTCGTCGCGTTCGCGGCTTTTAAGTAATGCATAAACCTTCGAGGCGCGAGGCCCTTCGGACCGCGAGGCATAGGCGGTGGCCCACGTCGTCCATGCCTTACGCCGCCCTTGGTCATAGAAATGATGTAATTTGAATATAAATTATTTATAAATACGTATGTCAAGTTATATTTTTATTACTACGTAAAATATATTTAAGAGTTTACGACCACTGTGCTGGGTGAGACGTTGTTGAAACAAAAAAGTTATATATTCCATCACGTACATAAACAGTGTCGTAATTCGCTAAGTGCAAATCAGCAAATTCGTAAAATTTTTGTTTATTTTGAACAATCTGGATAATCGAAAATCCGGTTAATGGAGGTTTTACTGTATATATATATATATATTAATTTCTTTTAACTTTGTTTTGACAACTCTGATATACTGCTCCATACTTAACAGGCAAATACTGTCTCCTCTCATTTTGTTTGATTTGAAAACCATTTAGAACGGGTGTGTCAAACTAGCAGCCCTCGAGCCTCATGTGGCTCCCAATGTGATTTTTTGTGGCCCATGGCCACGATATTCTGAAATTAAATAAAACAGCTTACAGATCAAGATTAACTGATAAACATCTATCTACCATAATGGAGACTGTTCTCAGTCTTTGAATTTAGATATTGAAACACTAGGAGAGGAAGATAGTGCTGGCAAATTTCTGGTGAAAACAATTAATTGTATAAATAATTTCATCTATACACACTGTAAAATATACGACTTACTTCTGACTCAAAACAAAAACAGTGCTTAGTTCAAAATACCTTCACTAACGTTTTTGAACTTAGTTCTTCTTCAGGTGAATAAAAGAAAAACGGGCAGAATCAATGTTATTTGAACATATCAGTTTCATATGAATTCTGAAATGCAGTGTTCTAAGGAAACCCGTGCAATCATCGTGTTAATTTGCACATGCTCTGTAGATAGAAGAATCGCTTTTGGCTTCTCATGTATCATAAATAAGAGTTTATTCTTATTGTTTATACATTTATCTTCTCTTGCTGTTTTATATATATATAAAATAGGTGCGATAAAGACTTAGTATATGTGGGATCCACAAAAAGATCATTGGAGGTGAGGCGCAAAGAACATAAAGCAGACATCCTACATAAGACATACTACAGCATTAGCACAATATGCCATGGACCATGACATACAAGCATTATTTGAAAAGACAAAGATTATATACACCACACAGCAACCACACCATTTGCACTGGATGGAAGTGATATATATATAAAAAACAGCAAGAGAAGATAAATGTATAAACAATAAGGATGAACTACCCTTACTGATAACATGGCAAACTCTTATTTATGATACGTGAAAAGCCAAAAGCGATTCTTCTATCTACAGAGCATGCGCAAATTAACATGATGATTTCACAGGTTTCCTTAGAACACTTTCAGAATTCGTATGAAACTGATATGTTCGAATAATATCGATTCTGCCCGTTTTCTCTTATTCACCTGAAGAAGAACTAAGTTCAAAAACATTAGTGAAGGTATTTTGAACTAAGCACTGTTTTGGTTTCGAGTCAGAAGTAAATTAATTGTATAAGTAAATGTAACAAAATTTGCATCTGAAATGCATTGTAATAAAGTGGCAATATTTTATAGACCTTAGCATGGTTTCTTTCTCTGATCAAATGCAGTTAGCAATAAAAAGCAATGGTTAACTAATTGTCTTAACCAGGCACGGCCAACATACGGCCCGCTGAATGAATTTATGTGGCCCGCGATTAATCTCTGAATATTAACTATTCAAGTCCGAATAGATCGATGAAAAATTCTAACGCCTAAATAAAAAAAAAGGTCAACAATTCACTGTGTGCTTAGAGTTAACCCTCCATTACAAATCTCTTAAGTACAGCGTAGAATGTTGATAAAGCATGATAATGTGAGAAATGTATCTATATGTACAATTTAGTCTCTACGGGTGACACCACAATGAGATCTTGCACCACCTCAAAATCTTTCTAGGGCAGCCTCTGGTTCAGCCCGTGAAAAAAGTTTTCTTTCCAATTCAGCCCGAGGACAAAAACTGTTGGCCACCCCTGGTCTTAACCTTAATGTTTTAATTTTTTAAGAAGTTTTTTAAAAAATTGTTTAAAAAAATAATAATAATTTTAGTCTTATAAATATGTACATTAAATAAATGTTTAAATAAAAGCAATACTATAGCAATTACATATTGAGTTGAATTCACTGAACTACATAATGTGTTTTAATTGCTCTATCTATATTCCTGCATTCTCACTTCAAATAATTTTTAAAAAATTTGTAAATGTGATGTGGCCCACATGAATCTTACCAGTCGCATTAATGGCCCATTGTTTAAATGAGTTTGACACACCTGACACACATTAAATTTATTTACAAAAACAAAGTAATTTTATTTAATTTTATTTAGTAAATTAATTCAAAATATTATAATTTAGAGATTTCAATTACCTATTAAGCCTTAACTCCCTAAATTATTACAACCTTTACCCTGAAAATTGTTAATACGAATTTTCAATAAAGCAATCTAACAACTGTTTCCCTTGCAATTTGTATTAACACAAGTTGACCGTATAATCAGAAATCCAAGTCACAAAATTAATTTTTATTTTTGAATTTATGCACTCTTTGTTGCATATTTGTTTATACTATAAACTGTAAACAAATTGTAAAAAAGTATATTAAACAACCCAAAGCCTTATATATATATATACATACATACATACATGGCCAAACAATCATCTTATGGATTCATAGCCCAAATATTTAAGGTGATCATTTGGCTATATACAATTGTAAAAGTGATCATTCAAGCTGATGTTACTGAAGCTGAGAACAAAAACTTTTTAAAGTTTTTTTGATATATACTCTTGTTGCAACACTCTTGTTGTATATACTCTTTTCTGGTATATACTCTTATTCCAAACACCTAGTAAATTTTGGTGTCTTTTCACAAAACAAAACTCTTTGACCAAATTCTACCACAGGGTCCTTGAGAGGGCAGATCTGACCTTTCAGGAAAACCAAAAGAACACAATGTTCAGAAAAAAATACTATGTACTATACCATACATGTGAATATAATAAAAGCAATGTAAAAGGACAATGGCTTATTTAATAAACAAGTGGTATAATAATAATAATAATGATAAATACACCATTCTTCAATTCACCCAAATTTCAAATCAGAGTGACAGTTGTACAGTACTATACAACCATCACCCTAATTTGAAATTTAATTCTACCTTTAACTGTAAATCAAAATTAAAATGTAGAATATTCTCAAACAACTGCAACAGTTTAACACTAGTTTTTAGTATTGAATATTTGTGCTTCATGAAATAATTCAAAAAAAATTTTTTTTTGATCTATTTTCTTCATGGGCTAGACACTACTAGTGGGGCATAAGGTAGAATATATACAAATGAAAGAAAATTAAGTTTTTGTAATAATATTTTTATTATTCAGACATTACTACTGTACATTCTTATCTTTAATTAAGATCATAGAATTTACCTGTGGAAAACAGCTTAATAATTGTCAATTTTATAACTGTTTCCTTTCTCCTGTGTTCATAACATCACAACAGAAATTAGAAAACAAACATTGTATTAACAAAATGTATGCCAATTGTTGTTTTAGAATAAGATATTGAAGGTTCCTTACTTTGTAATCCATTATTGGTGTGTATCTGTTCATCATCCATACCATGCAATGCAATGGCAAATGTTATTTTATTTTTGGAAATATTTTTACTGTAAAAATAATTTAATCATTTGTATTAGTTTATAGATTTGAAAACAGTAAAAGTTTGTTTAATAATAATTATGTTCCTGCAAATTCTAATTTATATAAATTTCTATATTTCTCCTGTGAATGATAAATTAAGGACAAGTGGTAAGATATTTCAAATTGGAAAAAAGACTTATGTTTTACAGTTAAACCTTTTTTTTTTATTTTATTTTATTAATTAAAATTAAATAAACTATCTACATACAATTTTGCAAGATTTTATATTTATAAGTAAGTGTGATAGTAAGAGTATTGAGTTTTTTTTAACACCAAAAAAGTATCCATTCTAAATTATTTTCTTATTATTGTACATTTATTTTTAAATATTTATAAGAAAGAATTGATTTATTACCAAATACAGTACATACATAAATTTGAATTACAAAATTGATAGAAATGTAAAAAATTAAAACATTGATTTTTAAATACAGTAGATCCCCCTATAAAACCGTTTCCTATAGTTATGATTCCTATAAAAATTGTGGCAGTATCCGTAAACAACGGTAAAAATAACTCCTATAATACGTAAAACGTCATCGGGCAGCCGAACTACTTTCCCGCCGTCCGTAGCGCCACGCTACGGACGTTTAGGCGGATAAATTGAGTTTAGTATCGTCTGTTCATATAATTATATATAAATTAGGTACTGTACATATAATTATATATTAATTATATATAAATTAGGTACTGTATATATAATTATATATTAACTTAATTTATTGTAACTTTATTATAATTAAATATATATTTTTCGCCGTCTAGCGTCACGCTACGGCGAGTTAGGCGACCTATCGTCTGTCCAGTACTGTAATTTTATACATTTCTTGTGAAAGAAACATTTCTTATTTAACGGCCATAAAAATTATTTATATTAAGGATGTCTCCAAAGGTCAACGAAGTTTTCGCAGAAAAATAATATCAGAAATCGCGGCCGCGGTTTGATGCGCTGTTCCGCGACGAAACCAAGCTTTAGCAACGGGCGTAGTCGAACGGTACACACTCGGTAAGCAATCCTACAATTTTTTGTTTATAACGTAGTTTATACGGATTATTTTCAAAAAAATATACGTATTTTGGAAATGTTGAGTCGAATTAGTCTAGAATCGATTAATTTTATGAAAGAAAACCTTTCAAACAGCCGTAGTCCGTAAACTATGATTCCTACAAAATTGATTCATAAAGAACGGAACGTATCTACCGTCTTATAGGGGGATCTACTGTAATCTATTCTGTACAAGTCTTACAGAATACAAGTCTGTAGTCATTGAATCATTTTAATTCTTTTATTTTTATAAATGTTACCATTTATTTAAATTATATGTTGTGTTGCATAAAATTTTTCTTTGTATCATTTAATTTCATGTTCGAGTTTATTATATAACTATTTTTTGAACTAAACAAAGTTTTGAGATTATTACTAAAATTATGCTACTGTGAGATTCTATTAATCTGCATTGTTGGGACTGACATGGTACTGGTTTATTGAATATGCTGCCTTATCAGACAGTAAAAATTTTTCCAGTTTTTTTCAATCTCCTGAATACAATTTCTGATATCTTTGCATGTAAAACTGTACAAATCCACCTGTACAACTCAGATATTTAGAGCAAGTTTAAATTTGTAAGGCCATTGGCAGATATACCACCATTAACTTTCAAAATGTAGATTCCTCCCCCCGGTGTGGAAGCCATTCTATGAAATGTAAACTTACTATCCACTCCCCAACCCTCTCTCATATGTCACCTTCCCTTTTCATACATGTATGGCAATCTCCTATTGTTTCAACAGCTGTGGGTTCATTTAGCCTGACAATGTACGTTCAACATGGGAGAAAATGTTACCTCTATTCTCCTTTTTTCTGCTGGTTATTTGGTTTTGGTGACTTTTTTTTTGTTATCAAGTTTACCTAGTTGTGAGTGGTTGTGTGAATTTTTATCTTTTATTCACCATTTAATTGGCATGAATTTTTGTTTACAAGATCAAAGAAACTTTATTACTTCTATTAGTCAACATATTATATCAAGTTTATAATTGTACATGTTATCCTATCTATATATATAATCGAGACGGGTTGATAATAATAATAATAATCAGCACAGAGCCCAAATGGTTAGGAGTTGAAAGTTGAAATTTGGTACACAGATAGGGTACATCATGAGAACGCACAATAAGAAGGGATTTTCTGAAATTCCCCCAGGGAGAGGGACAGGATTAATTAAGGCTTCGACAACGGAAGTGTTAAGAGAAAGCAACGTGCAAGATTTACAGGTGCAGATGCAGTTTTTTGCATTTTTTACTGAATTTTAATAAGGTACATCACAAGAATATACACTAAGAAGAGATTTTTCAAAATTCCACCAGCGGGGGTGAGGCTGTTAACACTTCCCCGTGGAAAAGTGTCAACAATGAAAGTGTTAAGAGAAAGCAATGTGCAAGATTTACAGACACAGATGCAGTTTTTTCATTTTTGCAGGAAATCAAACATTTTTTAATCCATCTAAAAATTCTATAATTAGTCTGGAAACAGGGGGACCTAATTCTTGCATTCTTTGAAAACGGGTAAGATTCACTATAACGTAGTAATCTTAATTTTCGCTATCATTACTTTTTGCCCGAGCAATGCCAGGACTATCTGCTAGTAATGATATAAAGACAAAATAGCTCAAAACATTCTTTTAATTTAATAAATGTTTTATGTTAATTTATCAATTTAGTCTTACGTAGAAAATTATAGAATAGGTTTATTTAACTATTTGTATAACTTTATTTAAATTTTCCAAACTACATATTAGTAATTAATTCATTCATAAATTGTTGTTTAATTTTGTGTACTAGTGTGCAATCAGTTTTAGGGAAAGAGTTCTAAAAATATTCTGCACTTGTACACCATCTTCCAGAAATCCTTGGAAGATATTTTTTTCTTGACTACACTGAAAAATATTGGTGAAACTTTCATATTTCAAGATAATGCTTCAATTAATTTGTCTTCTTATATAAGACATTGGCTAAATGAGAGAAATTTTCTTTGACTAGAAGTTAGCCAATTGAGTACATCTTAATCCAATCAAGAATCTTTGGGCTATTCATCCTGAGAAGAAACAATATAACACCATTGAAACAGCTGAAACAGTCCATTCAAAACAGGTTAAATAAAATCAACAAAATGCTTCAAAAACTTGTCTTGTCTATGAAAGATATGCTAAAACACAATGGAACCAGCACAAATTTTATTTTAAAATTTTTATCATTAGAAATTGTTAGTTGGCTTTATACATTTATTCCATTGATTTTGTCATGGCAATATTCCTTTTTGTAAATTAAATCAAATTAAAAGAAGGAAAATATCTTAGTATTTTATGAGTAATTGTTAAACACATTAATAACTATCAATATAAATATTAAAATCCAGATCATATCAAGTGTTTGTGTTTTAGAGCAGAAAAATGTAATGATTTTAAAATTACTTTCAGCACTGTGTGAAATATGTAACATGTCTTATAGAGAATTAGTTTAAAACAATTGAGAACACAATAATATTTCTGTTAATATACTGTTTGGAAATTAAATAATTGATAATTAGCAATGATTCGGTTAATAATACTAGTGTACAGGTACATGGCTATTAATCATACCATATTTCCCTGAAAATAAGCCCTAGCATGATTTTTCAGGATGCTCGTAATATAAGCCCTATTCCTAAAATAAGCTCCAGTTAAGATCATCAGCGACATAGTCATATTTAATATGTCTGTGCAATCCACGATGGATGTGTTGAATTATAAAATAATAATATATAATTAAATATAAATAAATATTATTATTGACATTAATACTTAAAATAAATGATAATATTAAATATCTAAGTGAGCACCTTTGGATGAGACATCCCCTGAAAATAAGACCTAATGCATCTTTTGGAGCAAAAATTAATATAAGACCCGGTCTTATTTTCGGGGAAACACAGTATTTCTTAATTTGGTGATATACCAATAAACATATTGGAAACTATCAAAATGTATTGTTTCGTAATAGGTTGTTTTTTAAATACAGTATTTATATACAACTCTGTTCTAATAATTGATAAAATATATACACTACATACCAGGAATAGTATAGAATAATGCTATAGTAGAGAAACCACACTAAATGTGTTTTTAATGCTGTTTTTAGTGTGGTTTCTCTATTATACAACTCTGTTGATTCTTAATTGTAATATCTTAAGCAATATCACTACATTGTATCATCATCTGTTTGATAATTTCTAAATTCATTTTCTATCACATTACTAGAATAATATAACAAAACAGTGTATTCTCACTGGTCTGAATTAATTATTAAAGGAGTAGTGTGTTCAAATTAGTAAAATGTTTGAATTAGTACAGAAAGTGAAACAAAGGAAGAAACAGAAGAAAAAACTATATGTATAAAAAAATATATATTTTTTATACATGTTTTTAATGCTGTATGATCATATTACACATTAGAATGTTTAGTATTGTATATATTAATTTTGAGAATTTTTCATGTTCTAAAAAATATTATGATTTATTTTTGTTCTTTGGACTAGAACATTTAGTGACAGTAAACAAAACTGATTCAGATTAGCAAGAGTGTACTGTTTATTCTTTTTAGTTATTATATTACATTCCATTTATATTACTATTTATTAAAATCAAAATGTTGAATCGTGGCTTCTATTTTTCTGTAAAGTTAGAAGCCATGTTTGCTTTCTCTGCAGTTTATTGCAAGAATGTTATTTACTATTTTATGTTATTAATTTTTCTTACTAATCAGAGTTCTATTATATTTCATAATTATTGCTTCAAATAAGATTGAAATTTAGAAAAATACCAGGCTATCATAATTAACATATTCTTATTCAATATTATTTAGAGAAAAATTTATTAGTCCAAATGCAACCAAAATCTGGTATAGTGACATTTCAGAATGTGCACAAGATATTTCCAAAAAATATTAGCACCAACCAGTAGCATAGACTGACGGCACATGTATCCAGAACTTGGTTTCAATATGTGCTTTTACAAAGGAAAACTTTTTCATTGCTTGCAGTGCCAAAAGTGCCACAACAGTGTTTTTTTTTGCTTTCTTTATATAAATGTCTTCCAAGACAAAACGACTTCCAACTACTTAACACTGCGTTGAATAATAACAATCCTCAAAACCTTTTTTTTTTTACAAGTGTTATGTTCATAGTAAACTCCACCACTGCACAAATGCTTTTGACCTCCACTGAGGTCTGCTTCAGGTGGTGACTGTCTGTGTTTCCTCCTGACTGTCGTAACAATGTCGCCAGAGATGTAAATAATTGTGAGTGTCAGGTTTCACCCCTCTGACTGTCCCTATTCAAATTCCTTTAACAAATACCTCCACGCCTGGGAGATTCATAAAGCTAACAGTGGGGGCACCTGCATCAACTTCAAAGATGGTGAAATGATCGCGCAGGCGCAGAGGTACTTGTTCGAGGAATTCGAACAGAGACAGTTGGAGGGGTGAAACACAACACGCACAATTATTTACATTTCTGGCGACATCGTTACGATGGTCAGGAGGAAACACAGACAGTCACCACCTGAAGCAGACCTCGGTGGAGGTCGAAAGCATTTGTGGAGTTTACTACGGACATAACACTTGTAAAAAAAGGTTTTGAGTATTGTTATTAAATGTCTTCCACTTGTCTGAAATATCACCAAACAACATTTGGTGGCATTTGGACTGCTAAATATTTTTCTAGTTTGTGTTTAATAGGGATATTTTAAATACAATTACCTGGTATACTTGCAATATAACATATCCAAAACTGAAGGGATGTTGACAATAAAATAAAAATCTCACCTTAAAATTTTAAATATCTCCTGCTGGAGATACTTGTTCCTGCTTGGTATATTTGTTCATAGATTAAAATTTTATTTTAGTAAATCACTAGTATCTTAATTTCAAACATTAAAAATGTAAGATAAAAGAAATATTTGGATATCTCTTATCCTTTTATGTGTGTATAAAAGAATAATTATTAACAATGTTCCATATGATAACATACTTTCTTATGCTCAACAACGGTTTAATTGTCAGGTATATAAAAATTTCAGAAATTTTTCTTAAACTTTTATAATTCTTTCAACATCATCATCTTTATCTACATATCAATTACAATTTTCACTAACATCAAGAATCAGCAACTTATCATATTTGATTAATTATGAATATGTAGTAGGCTTTAAAGGATTTTTTCTTTCTAAATTTACAGTATTTTTTTATAATCAATATCAACAATTAATATCCAACACCATTATCTTTAATAAAAAATACATAAAAGAGACTAAAATTTCTTCACTTTTGCCATGTCCAATCATCAGGAACTCCGGTCTTCCACAACAAAGATGACCTTTCTTTGGAGGCTACGCCTCTGCAAAAACATGCAAAACAGTCTAAAAGTTCTCTGGTGACAATCCCAGAACAATTAAAGATTGTCTAGACAACTTTTAGACTGTTTTGCATGTTTTTGAAGAAGCGTAGCCTCTAAAGGTCGTCTCTGCTGTGGAAGACTGTTGTTCCTGGTGATTGGACATGGCAAAAGTGAAGAAATTTTAGTCTCTTTTACGTAATTTTTTATTAAAGTGTAAATTTGTCAGTCCTTTTTTACAAAAGAAACCATTATCTTTGTTATATTAGATTTCCTATGCCTAAATTATAAAAATCAAAAATAATATTTGCAGAAAATGTTCAGCTATATAATAAAAAATCATTTTAAACATATTATTTAAAATTAATTGTAATTTTATTAATGCTTTCACAAAATCTAAAGATGTTTTATTTAACAACAAAAAATAATTATTGGCAAATCAACTGATTCCAAATTGATTATAATATAAAAATGCAGGAAGTGAATAAAAATTATTGATAATTATGATTATTCATATTAATTTAATTGATTTGCTATAAATGAAGAAACCTGTTAATTAGTGTCTGAAACAGATCACTACAACTTATCTTACTGTCCTGGCAATTATTAAAAATTTAACAATTTTTACTGTGANTGTTCGTTCACGCAGTTTTCGATGAGTCATATCATTCTTAACTTGGACGGAAATGAAATTTGTTACAACGTTGCACTTAGTCTTTCATATTTGTTGTTAGTAATTTAAAAGACATTTTGAAACACATACGGAACGATAATAATTTTTTAAAATATACTAACACAAAAATGAAAAGGGAACTCGGATACATGTATCGAGAGCCACAAATAATCCTTCAATGAGCCGCCTGTGGCTCGCGAGCCGCAGGTTGGCCACCCCTGTACTATATCATGCCATTTGTTCCTGCTTGCTCGATGTTCTACGTACCATTACAGCTATAGACGCTTGTAGTGTACAGTCAAAAGTAGCCGAAATAGTGTTACCATCCGTCCGGTTTTCGCCCAGACAGTCCGGGAATCGACTCACTGTCCGGGTGAACTATTAATTCTGTCCGGGAATATCGTGCGCAATCTGCCGATGTCTTCAATATCCAATAGAGCTAAGTCATCTGTGGTTGTTTTTTCTTAATTAATTTAGTTACTTACGCTACTCCTACCCAAGTTTCCTTAGTCCCTAACTGTAACTGATTTAGAACCGGCATGCACTGCACGTTAATCTTTCTCATTGCAAAATGTCATTGCGCATGCGTCAGGAACTTCTGTTCGAACAAACCTCACCTGCTGTCCGGGTCAGCGATTTTGAAAAGGTGGCAACACAAAGCCGAAAAGAATGGACACATTGCAAAACTTTTCTGATGTGGCAGGGCGGCATCGACGTCCATGCAGAGATTGATAGTTTTGTGCAACACATCTTAATTCTTGAGCTAGAATTTGCGATGTGGTTGCGTAATCCTCAATAGCTGAGAGGATATGAAGTCTGTTCTCTCTTTTGGTGGTGTAGCATATCCTTTGGGATCATTCTCTCACGTTGGTTCGTTCCTCCTTCTTGATCCAGCGATTCCATATTCGTATTACTGTTGCCACATTCTTTTCAATACAAGCACAAATTTCATAGAAGGATTATCCACAGCTCTGATATGCGACAATTCTCCCTCTATTGAAATTGGAAACCTGCTGGAATGGCTGCCATATTCTTCGACTAGACATACTTAAGCCCCCTGCGCGCAAAAAAATAAGAAATAAAAATTCAAGATTAAAAATAAATAATAAAGACGAAATTTCAAGATTAAAAATAAGAAATATTTAAAATGAGCTCTTAAGTCTCCTCTCATACACTGCTTTCAAGGGGATTACTGGTGCACATGATTTGCATGTGTTGCGCTGCTAACCATTTACATGTCCTCCTATGACCACCATACTCAACCTGTTTTTCTCGGGCCACATACACATGATAGCTATTACACGCGGGCCGCAACATAACAATTATAATAAAAAACTTACATAATTACTCACTTATCCTAGAAAAAGAGCGGGAACTAATTACGTTGACGTTTCATAAAAACGTATGACGTTTCACATAGATACGCTGATGCGAACAACGTAAGTAAAATTTGACCACATTTTTTTCACATTCTTATATTGTTCGGGCATTACTTTCCAAAAGTCAACGTAATTATTTCCCGCTCTCTTTTCTTTAAAAATAGCTTCCAGGTGTGTACTATATTGTTCTTCATCTCAATAAATTCGTCAAATAGCTCTGCGTAATTACATGCAAATATATCAGCCAGTTTTGATATTATTGCTGGTTCCAAGAGCCAGGGATTTTCAAGCATATTTTTTATTTTTCTTAGATCATGAAATCTATGTTTAAATTCCTCAGATAACGCAGTTAAATAATTTGAAAAAATTGTAGTTTTCTGGAAAAATATTAATACCGTCCTGCTTAGCGTTTGTCACGGTTGGAAAATTTCGCAGTATTTTGTTTTGTACTTCTTGGTAATAAATGTTTAATTTTTCTTCGAAGCAAATATTTTATTCGCCATCTGTGAAATTTTATTTTTACCCTGTAAACCAGTATTGAGATTGTTAAGCTTCTCTGTAATGTCGTACAAAAACGCTACAATACACCACCATTCATCATTTTGCAGTTCACTGTAAATTTTATTATTTTGCTGTAAAAACAGCATTATTTCTTTTTGCAAAAAAAAACCTTACCAGAACTTTCCCCTGCTAAGCCAACGTACCGAGGTATGTAAAAGAACATCGTTGTATTGACTACCCACTTCTTCTAAAAGACTTTTAAATTTTCTGTGGTTCAGTTCTCGTGCTTGGATATAATTCACTATATTTATAATAGTTTTCATCACAGTATCTACTTCAGAATTAGCAATACGTGAAGCCAAGTTTTCCTGATGAATGATGCAATGAAATGTTATTAGATTTGTCAAATCATAATTCTGTTTCAGTAGAGAAATAAATCCATTTTCGGATCCAGTCATTGAAGGACAGCCATCAGTACACACACAAACTATTAATAATTTTTTTATATCTATCTTGTTCTGTTCTAGAAAATTGCAAATAGTATCGAGATAATCTTTGCCCCTGGTCTGGCCCTTCACTGAAAGGAATTTCAAAACATCTTCGCAAATTGAATTTTGTTCTGTACAATATCTAACAAAAACCGAGCATTGTGATGTCGCTAAAATATCCGTGCTAGAGTCAAAAGCTAAACTAAAAAACTTGCAGTTTTTCAAGTCTTCAATTACGTTATCACAAATACGAGGTATGGTTTGCAATATCTTCAATACGTCTAACACAGGTAGAATCTGAAAGCTGGATTTTTTTATTTCCGAAATTATTTGATTTTTGTTACTGAATTTATCAAACAGTACATTGGAAGCGGTTAAAAAACATTCCTTTACAATTTCAGCATCAGTAAACGGTTTCATATGTTTACTAAGTATATAACAAATTTCATACGATGCTTTTGTTACAGCTTCATCTTATTGGCAAGCGCCAAATCCGACAGAGGGCGCTGTTTTTGAGCCAAGATGGCTGCCGGAACAGGTAAGGAACCGACCACGTGTTTGTTCGGTGCCTGAGCCGATTCAGTTTCTATCGGTGACGACTACTGCGAGGACCAAATGAAGAACAAATCATTGAATTTTTGTAAATTCTAGACTATATCGGCGACAGGAAACGTTGTCTTGTAGAAGGTGAAGCCGTTTTGGATGCTGGACACATCGTATTTTGTGGATTAAACTCTAACAACAACACCGAAATTTATGTTGTTGCTTTAATGTTGCAATCTCAGATATTGGCATTTTAATATATCTCAATTACAGGGAGAATGCACGTGCAAAGCGGAGCTGTCTGGTTTTTGTAAACATGTGATAGCATGTTTATTATACGTTAACAGGTGAGAAGTATTTAAATATTTTAAGCAGTATACACCATGTTCCAATATAAAAACAAAGTTTTATTTGTCATAATAGTTAAAATTAGTGCCAATCTGAAGGCTGTCCTGCTGAGTCATTCAGCACTTATACAACATTGTCCAGTCAAAAGTTTGTAGCACACATTATGTACTGTACGTCTCATATATTCAAAACGGCTTCACCTTCTACAAGACAACGTTTCCTGTCGCCGATATAGCCTAGAATTTGACATAAATTCAATGATTTGTTCTCCATTTGGTCCTCGCAGTAGTCGTCACCGATAGAAACTAAATCAGCTCAGGCACTGAACAAACACGTGGTCGGCTCCTTACCTGTTTCGGCAGCCATCTTGGCTCAAAAATAACGCCCTCTGTCGGATTTGGCGCCTGCCAATACTATTGCCACAGACATATTTTGTTGATTTTGCAATGACTTTTTAAAAATAGCCAATTTCTCGTGTCTCATGAGAGATCCCGGAAGTGTCATTGAACGATTTATGTTTAGTGTTAATTTAAAATGACGAGCAATATTGTATTTTTTAAATATAACACTTTCACGACAAATCAAACAAGTTGCAAAACCGTGTTTGTTTTGCACTACAAAATAGTCAGCTTCCGATTCGTTTTAAAACAATCTATTTTCGTCAGACATTTTTCATTTGTATTTAGAAGACACTCCTGACATGGTTGATAACAATTATAAATTACAATTTCTCAAATAAAGTGGTCGCTAATTCAGTGTGATTTATTGTTTACTCAATTATAACTCTTAAGGTACTTTAACAATTACAGAGTCACACGACACAAACAAGTTATGACCTGTTATAACTTAGGACTTAAACCTATTCGATGTTGAAATTCTTGTTGAATTTTCGTTGATGTTAAGCCTAATGAAAATTACACGTTTTTTTAAAAAAATAATCGTGATTATTTTATCATCCGAAATTATTTTTTTATTTTTCACAAACAAAATAGATATATTAATAAATATAAAAGCAAAAAATTATTTCTAAAGTACGTTTTAATATAAAAATTATGACGCATAGTGACATCTAGTATCAAAAACGTTCCAATGCAGAAATGAATATACAGTATTCAGGTTCGACAAATGAGGTCAACGCGAAAATATTCGGGAACAACACGGGACAGGTATCGCGTGTAGGCGCTACGGGTCTCAGTAAATTACTAACAAGTAAGTCTAGCTCTACTTTTACCGTCCCTTGCGGATTGCCCCCTGACGCCACCACGTGTTCACAATGCTCGCACATCTGGCGACAACTTTCTAAGGACAAAAAGGACTTGGCGGTGTGGTCGGAATGACCAAATCTATTTTTTGCCACGAAAATTTCAAAATTCATATCTTGACTGCATTATTTACGGGTCACGTCCGGGCCACTCACAAAAGCTCAGTGGGCCGCAGGTTGAGTATGGTGGTCCTATGATTTACCGTGTTTCCCCGAAAATAAGACATCCGCAGAAAATAAGACCTAGTACAGATTTTGCCGAATTGCGAAATATAAGACCTCCCCCTGAAAGTAAGACCTAGCGAAGTTTTTTTTTGTCGTAACGGTCATCAACAGATGGTTGAAAGTGGCCGTTGGCTTTTTGAAAGTACAGCCACTGATTGGTCAGCAGACAATTACGCCACACGGCATGATTTGCATAAGACTATGGCTTGGGAATCACAGATTTGCATAACGTTACGGCTGGTGATGGCTAATTGGTCGGCCGGGAATCACGCCACATGACATTTGCATAGTGCTACGGTTCAGTAAGCACTAATTGGTCATCGAGTCCGATGTTGACGCTATAAAAAGGCGACAGTTCGACACACCGGATATACGTCACTCTCGTCTAAGTTCGACTTGGGAATTTTTTTGTTCAATAATAAATGTGAATTCTTATTCCTGGAAAAAGTAAGACCTAGCGCATTTTTCAGAGCAAAAATTAATATAATTAATTTTTGCTCTGAAAAATGCGCTAGGTCTTACTTTAAAAAATTAATATAAGACACTGTCTTATTTTCGGGGAAACACGGTACGCATCCTGCAAATTTCAGGACGAACGGATACGTATTGCAGTTTTAATGGTCAACTAACAGTATTTAAAAAAATATATATATATATAACAAACATGTTATATTTCGACTACAACAAACCTATATGCATAACAAACAATACTTAAATTTAAAAACAATGAATACGTTTAATTCTGTTTTTACACGAACTTTTTTAAACGATTTTGATTTAACACGTTTTATAAAAAAAATAATTTGTTAAGTATGATTCTAATGAGGAACGAGATTTAAACTTTCAACGTAATCTGAAATCGTTAATGTAGTCTTGTACAGAATTATATAAAGACCTAGCCACAATACGAATTATTAATGGTTATTAATGGTTATTAATGGAATTCAGTTATTAATGGTTATTAATAACTGAATTCGTTCATAGAACCACTGTAACATCAACACCACAGGACATTACTGCTAGCGTTGTTCAGGAGTTCACAGAAAAAACTTTACCTGTGTACGAAGAACACGATAACCAAAGCAGTTTCAGTAATAGCAGCAACATTTCATTATGCACAAACGTATGTTTTTATTATCAGAAAGTGACAGCGAATAAAATTTTATGTATAACTCACATTACATCTGCCTAATTTCTATTTCATTCTTTACTTTTTTTTTTCAAATGAAATTATGTTCCTATACTTCATTTTTATTTATATGCAATGCATATGAAATAAAAATAACACGCAAAGAAAAATAAGATTCTAACAAGATTTCTCATATGGTTATTTCATTATTTTCATTGATTTCTTAGGTCCGTAACCACTGTTCTAATTTTCCATATATACTCGTACAGTACAATGTATTTTTACACGACTTTTTACCTGATAATAAATTTGATTAATTTGTATCAATATTTTATTATAGTTATACAAAAATAAATATTTTATTTACATACAAGAACAAATTATTAGGAATTCACTACCGCGACTCCCCGCCAAGTTTATAAGTCACTGACCGACTGTATATGAAGTAGAGTTGCCGATTTTCGGGAGCCGATTTCTCCTCCCCAAACAACTGAAGTAATTCCGAATATCTCGTTCGAAAGAAAATTGTTTTCTTAGACAGTGTGTAAAATTTCAAGATTTTTTGTAACGCAGTTGTCGAAGTATAAATAATTGAAAAGTGAAAATATCGACAAAAAAAGCTATATTTTCTTCTCTTTCTTCTTCTTCATCCGGCACTGCAGACGCTAGTAGAGAAAAAACTATTGGGTCTAGAAAACTGAAATTTTAAACTTAAGCCATTCTGGTTATCGGTGAGGTCCTGGCGAAACTTCCGAGTCGATAGGTCAAAGTTCACGGGGTTTCCTATATCTAATTCGGTTTTACAGCTTATAAAGATAAAATTGCATGGAAACAAATAAATTTTATTCAAAATGTTGCTCAGAATTACAAAAGCTCAAATTTATGCGAATTATGCGCTTTAATTCGCATAAATTTGAGCTTTGTAATTCTGAATATTGAGCTGTAATTTGAGCTTTGTAATTTAAATGAATATTGAGAGCGTTCGGTTGGCAGTGTATTTGGTCAGCGGTGCGTTCAGTCGCTGAGAGAATTGTATGTCATCGTCTTATGTCTTGACGTATTAATAACAATAATACAATTATTAAACAATAACATCTGAAATGTAAAAAATTACGCCAAGTAAAATCTTATGACAATTTACAATCAATATTTTTCTTAGCAGTTTTCCTTTGGAAAAGATAAGCTTGGCTCTTTGAGGCGAAATGTAGAAAACAATAATACAGGTAAAACTCTTGTGGTTGCCGCTTCCAAGCGCCAAGCTTATCTTCGGAATTCTTAATATGGTGTATAAAGTTAATTTAATTCTTATTTTACGATATTCGTATTCGTATTTTAACAGATGTATTTTCTGAAAATATTTTAAATTATATATAAGAAAAATTAATCCTAAAAATCTAAAATTTTCTCTCTTCAATTTTTCCTAATCTAAGGATAATTTATCCGCTTTCCACATTTTCATTTTAACACATTCATTAAAGGAGACTTTTCTAATTACATTTAGAAAAGACACCTTAAATAATGATAATTACAATTAGATTTAAAATATACATTTAACATGAAATTCCCATTTTCTTAATACAGTATTATTTTTAAAAATTTATCTTATCGTTATTGATTCATAAAAGTTAAACTCAATCAGTTTTATATGTTATCAGGTCTCCGATTAGATAATAGAATTACAAATTTCTTTTAAATAAAGTTTAGTTCGCTCTTGTTGGAATCACGAGATTCAGATAATTCTTAATTTTTTCTTATTGAAAAAAGATATTCTAAGAAAATAAAGTTATTTAATAATAATAATAATATAATAGTAAAGAATTAGGTGATTTATTAATATAAAATTTGATAAATTTTATTTTTTTTAAAGAATATTTTAATCTTTTGATATAGAATATGAAACAAACCTATTTCCATAATTCGCTTGATTACTGTACATAAAACATAGAAGAGAACATAAACAGTAAGAAAGTCTGAGTACACAAGAACAAGTCCACTAAGCTCTAGGAAAGAAAGCCAATAAATGATTATTACGAACTGACATCACTAATTATATCTCAAATGATTAATAATATTACTGCCTGATAAAAGTCTCGGGACAACCGTTATTAAGTATGAAATCTTTTTTATTTTTTTATAGTGCTTTTATATTTATTGATCTACACTAATTACACTAATATGTAGTTTTTATATGGACAATGAAAAAGAAACCATTAAGAGAACTTCTGACTCCATGCTAGTATGTTTTCTTGTTTTTCAGCAAAATTTATTTGTTCTCTTTTATATTTATGTACAGTACTCTAAGTATAACTTTAATATAATCTTTAGAAGAAGTATTCAAAATATTTAATGTTACAGAGAATTTTTTGTGAAATATAATCCAAAGATTAGTTTATTTTAAATTATATAAAAAACTGTTACGACCGGACAGCCGAGGCGGTTATGCATCAGCCTAATGGTTCTGGTAGACCCGGGATTAAATCTGGGAAAGAATTTTTCCTGGATGATCTGTCCCGTATATGTCAGGTCCCATTTTTCACCATCCAACCGCTCACATTTTGGCACGAATCGAACCCGTAATGGGCAATCAATAGCGAATCCGAAAATCTTTAGAAATGGTGCAGAAAGGAAACAATATGTCCAACAAAATATTTCACTATC